AACTGATTCATTTTCTCGGATTTTTTTTTTTATAAAACTTGCCAATTTTCATATTTACTTTTCCTGTATCCTCCCTCACCACTCTCTCTCCTTATATACTCGACAGTCCATATATCTTGTTTTTTTTGTTTTGTGAAAGTCTTTCAGATGGTAACTTATTCTCCCTTTGATTCTATCACCGTTTATACTTTATCAATCCACCATTCATTCCCTTTTGCACTTGAACCTGCCCACCTATTAATTACCATTAACCTCCACTGGCCACTCTAGCAGTTCATTCTGAATTTTTCCCTCATACTACCTCTACCTACCCTTCATTATCTATATCTCTCTTACCAACTTTTCTTCTTGTAGTTACTTATTCTTCTTACTACATGTACCCTTCTTTAGTTCACTCACTTTCGCTTCTCTCTTACCCACTGACACCATGATTCTTGTATTCCACCTGTCTCTTCCTCTTTCTGTAGTTGCCACTAAATAATGAACTGACATATCAGTTGATCTGTAAACAACTGTTTCCTGAGGTCAGCCATCAACTATTTATCCTTCGATACTCAGTCTAGCAATCTTATGCGTCCTCTTTTCTTTTAAAATCTTGGTCAATCTTCGGAAAAGCCGCTCAGCGGAGTTCACTGAAAATTCATACTTTGAAAATTTTACACTATTAAGTGAGTTTTGTAGCAGAAAATGTTTTGTTTTGTGAAAATTGTCCAGAACAATTTTTTAGTGGATTTTGAATTAGAGTAAGGTTAGGTTAGGTTAACTTGAAGTAACCCAACCTAACTTAACCCAACCTAACTTAACCCAACCTAATCCCACCTAACCCTGCAAAAGTGACCAAAAAGTTGTAGTTGAAGTACTGATAGTAATAGTAGTAGTAGTAGTAGTAGTAATAGTAGTAGTAGTAACTGGAGCACTGGTAGCAACATTAAAAGTACTGATAGCAGCAGTAGTGGTAGTAAATATTCTTACATGTTTTTGTCTTATATTCCATGATCGTCTGAACAAGTATCCCATTTTCATGTCCCCAGCAAAATACAATTTGGACAATATAAGCTATGCCTATTGCAAAACCTACTTAATATGTAACACTTCAAAGTGTCATTTAATAGTGAACTCCACAGAGCAACTTTTCAAAATATTGGTCAAAATATGTATTATTACCAAGAATTTTTAATATACATAAATCATTAGATGCCTCCCGTTGCTGTTTACGACTAGCACTCCAAATTTAGGGTCTCCCACAACACTAGGGTCTCCCACAACACTAGGGTCTCCCACAACACGAGAGTCTCCCACAACACTAGAGTCTGCCACAACACTAGAGTCTGTCAAAACACTAGAGCCTGCCACAACACTAGAGTCTGCCACAACACTAGGGTCTCCCACAACACTAGGGTCTCCCACAACACGAGAGTCTCCCACAACACTAGAGTCTGCCACAACACTAGAGTCTGCCACAACACTAGAGCCTGCCACAACACTAGAGTCTGCCACAACACTAGGGTCTCCCACAACACTAGGGTCTCCCACAACACTAGGGTCTCCCACAACACGAGAGTCTCCCACAACACTAGAGTCTGCCACAACATTAGAGTCTGTCACAACACTAGAGCCTGCCACAACACTAGGGTCTCCCACAACACTAGAGTCTGCCACAACACTAGGGTCTCCCACAACACTAGGGTCTCCCACAACACTAGGGTCTCCCACAACACTAGGATCTCCCACAACACTAGGGTCTGCCACAACACTAGAGTCTGCCACAACACTAGAGTCTGCCACAACACTAGAGTCTGCCACAACACTAGAGTCTGCCACAACACTAGGGTCTCCCACAACACTAGAGTCTGCCCCAACACTAGAGTCTGCCACAACACTAGAGGTCTGCCACACACTAGGTCTGCCACAACACTAGAGTCTGCCACAACACTAGAGTCTGCCACAACACTAGGGTCTGCCACAACACTAGAGTCTGCCACAACACTAGAGTCTGCCACAACACTAGGGTCTCCCACAACACTAGAGTCTGCCCCAACACTAGAGTCTGCCACAACACTAGAGTCTGCCACAACACTAGAGTCTGCCACAACACTAGAGTCTGCCACAACACTAGAGTCTGCCACAACACTAGAGTCTGCCACAACACTAGAGTCTGCCACAACACTAGGGTCTGCCACAACACTAGGGTCTGCCACAACACTAGGGTCTGCCACAACACTAGGGTCTGCCACAACACTAGGGTCTGCCACAACACTAGAGTCTGCCACAACACTAGAGTCTGCCACAACACTAGGGTCTCCCACAACACTAGGGTCTCCCACAACACTAGGGTCTCCCACAACACTAGGGTCTGCCACAACACTAGGGTCTGCCACAACACTAGAGTCTGCCACAACACTAGAGTCTGCCACAACACTAGGGTCTGCCACAACACTAGGGTCTCCCACAACACTAGGGTCTGCCATAACACTAGGGTCTCCCACAACACTAGGGTCTGCCAACACTAGGGTCTACCACAACACTAGAGTCTGCCACAAAAATTACCTTAGTTCAAAACTCCTTAAAATCACCTAACATTTCCCAGAATACGTCTCCTCAACATTCCTTTCACCTATAAATATATAACAATAATAACACTTTACATTCTAATTTTATTCTTACCTACAAAAATCATAAACGTCACCAAACTCCCTCTTTTCTTCCCACAATTTGACAATTAATATTTCAGCTACTGATTTATTCTCATTTTCTTTATCCCAGTAACACTACCACCCCTTTCAATATTTTTATTTTGCTCAGTGATAATATATTCTGTTTCTTTTTTACTGCAATACATCCATATACATTATATCTCCCGGTATTTTAGTCGCTTCTCAAGACACATATGACTTACACAGGACGTATTCTAACCTAATTATCCATGAAAGCTAAATGTGAAAAACTATTACGAAATACAGAAGATATCGGGTGAGACTGCGTACATTACTACTACTGCTACTACTGCTACTGCTACTACTACTACTACTACTACTACTACTACTACTACTACTACTAATAATAATAATAATAATAATAATAATAATATTATTATATTATTATTATATTATTATTATTATTATTATTATTATTATTATTATTATTATTATTATTATTACGTTGCGTAGCTGTAATTCTTTCTTGTTATCAGTATCCAGAATTATTTTCTGATATAGGTATATGTATAATATTTTACTTACTGTTAGTTTTAAATCATAATCATGGCATTTCTCTGAGCACTTGCTAGGTCATTTATACATAGTTATAAGTGTTTAGAAATTTGTAAACATGATATTAAATACCGACAGATGTTAACCATCTCTCGGTAATAAATACCATGTTTAAGAAATTGATAAGAAAAACTTGTGACTGCTTAAATATAGCGTCAGGCAACATTATTGTAATATTTCGTCCACCAGAGACAGAGAGATTCTGTAATAAAGTTGCCTGACTTTGCCTAATTGTTTTTTTATAGGTACAAGTTTTGATTTATTTGGCGATAATTTCAGGTAGTCGTTGTGTAATTTTTATTTCTTATTTCTTGTTTAGCTTATACAGTGACACATGGGGAACTAATGTGACATTTTATTACAGCAACGTTTCGCTCTCCATGAACTTTGCGAAGCCAATACTAGGACATAGAGAATATATACAGGTAACAAATTGAGGTGAAAGAGAATGTTGTCGGTATTTCTACCATCATTATTACTTGTTTAAGAAATTTGTCGTGTAAGTAGAAAATCATTTAGAAATTATTTAAATTGCAGTCTTTTTATGATCTTCCTTCTTGACACTAATTTAACAAAGTGAAAGCACTGAGAAAAATCATTATCAACAAAGACAGTATCATTTCAATATATCACTCGGTCTTTTCATCTGATATCATTCCAGCTGAAGGTGTCATGTTCATTTTATTTATATTGATAAGATCCTCTTGAGAGTAAAGGCTAAAGTCAGAACAGAAGAAAAAATTCGTTTAGAGAAGTTCTGAGGGGTAAAAGATAGCAACAGGGTTTAATCCACCCACAGAGTGGATTGTTCCAGCTGCAGTGTGACTAAAGAATGGCTAAACTTGGCTCAGCTTCACCGAATGGTTTCAGAATGTAAGCTGTCCACTAACGTTAAGTGTAGACAACGTACCTACCTGGAAGGTGTTCCGGGGGTCAACGCCCCCGGATTTATGACCAGAGCTTTGGTAAGATGGGGAAGGAAGAAGGATGAGTAAGCATGGAAATATGGAAAAGTGTGGGTAGGGGAAGGGGAGATGGGAGAAATAAAGGTAAGTTGCCTAAACACTTTGGTGCATTTTAATACAAGTGCGTGTGTGGGTAGTGTTATTTATAAAATTCATAGAATGGGGTATACCCCACTACCTATCAGCAGCACACATTTATACTGGCTGCATACATGTCCTTGTGTTAAATAACTTTTAGTTATTTGTTAATTTCTTTAAATCTCTTCAATCCATGAGATTAGGCAAGTTAACTTGGATACATAATAGACAGTATTTTACTGCTCCGATACAACTACTTTGGTCAATATCTAATTCTCAGGCACCATTTTATCACCCCTGGCTGTCTTCAAGAAGGCACTGGACAGGCACCTAAAGTCAGTACCTGACCATCCGGGTTGTGGTTCGTACGTTAGTTTGCGTGCGGCCAGCAGTAACAGCCTGGTTGATCAGACCCTGATCCACCACGAAGCCTGGTCTCAGACCGAGCCGCGGTGGCGTTGACCCCCGGAACCCTCTCCAGGTAAACTCCAGGAGACGCTGTTACGTTCAGGGAGTTCGAAAGACCACAAAATGTCATATCGACTGCTCGACAAATTTCAGAATCGTAGCGAATAAGTTAACTTTAAGTCAATTGAAAGTTCGTATATGGACTTGCATGAATTTATTTACAGAATCTAATTTCTATATACATACATAAACCACAAGTTCATTTTAGTTTAATAATAAGTTAAGCATAGCCGGGGGCAGGCTTGTAGCTGGGTTGGTAGGCTGGGGCAGGCTGGTAGGCTGGGTACTGGGCTTTACCCTCATATTCCACTTGAGCCACGTAGCCTGAGTCACCGTTCACAGTGTATGAAACTCTCTCCAGACGACCATCAGGAAGCAGCACGTAGTAGTTCCCCTGAGTATTGTAGCCGTCACGGGATTCTTGATGTCCAAAGTCGTTACCTGAAGGGTCGTCCTTCACGGCATAGTTGAAGTCGTACTTAGGATGACCCTGGATTTAAGGCAAGGCATTTTCATCAAAAATATTACATACTTATTTTTTTATATGTTCCTAATCTTAGCATAACTTCCTTTATTAAGAACTTCCAAATAAAGCTTTCATCATGTAAGTTTTTTATGCCTAAAAACGATAGAAAATTATTGTCATATTTAAACGTCAATGTACAATATTTTTTTCTTAAGATACGAGAGATGCTGGTATGAACCTACAGTTGGTGCTGGGGCCTTGTAGGAGGGAACTGGAGGGTTGTAGGTGGGAAGCAGCTCTGCTGATGCAAATGCCACAACGGCTGCCACTGTGAGAAACTGAAAAATCATGGGAAGTATCTTTTTATGTTGTCAAGTAAACATCGAATCTCGAAAACCCTGTTTCATTAACTAAAATCACGATTTTTTTTTCTTTTTTCAAACTAATGAAATACCTTAAACATGTTCGTGAAGGATCAAGTATTGTTAAACTGATGTTCACTGATGTACTCTTGCAGTTTATATATAGTTCTGGAGACTCCACCCACAATATGACGTCAGTAGTTTCACACTGTAAACAGCACATTTCACACGAACAAAAATAACTCGCAAACTTGACCGAGATGTAGATGTAATGACCTCCTGCTATGCTTTTGTTTTTTCCCACCTGATCTTATTGCTCCCTGCCCAATGTATTTAATCCTCGCCTCCCTCTCATCATTATTTTTTTTAAAAACTTAATATGGTTTATCTTTCCAATAGCTACATGACCCATCTAAAATTTAAGCTTTCTCGTTCTTAACTGCCAATTGGCAGTATATATTTTCTCAAGGCTTTGTGTATTTATTAATCTCAGGCTCAGGAAAAAAAATTAAATACTCACCTATTTGAACTGCTCTTTCTTTGCTTCCCCTCGCGATACTCTTAACCTCTTTCTCTGTATATGCTATCTTAATTATGTTGCAAAAAATAAATTCAGAGTTTAGCTTATTTCTTCCCAGAATTCTCTTTCCAACCTCTTCATTGCATCATCCCACAATCATTCCTTCTCGCACCTCCACCAAATTACTTGAAGCCACAAGCCTCTACTTTATACTCTAGAATTATATTCTTAAGCTTTTCCCCAAACCTCCTCAACCTCTTTACCAGTGCTTTCTCTACCCCTCCTTTCTTAAAGTAGTCGCTTACACTCATCATTACCTGTCCTCTTCATTAGTTCATTCACTGTCACAAGTCACTTATTCATTACCACTGTTCTTCTTGTACTGTTTCTCACTCATGCTACTCGTCTAAAAACTTGCCCATTCTGAAGTCTACCCATCAACAATTTATCCGCCAGTACAAACTCTACAAACTGCGTCCATTGCGACTTTCATTATACATCTTATACTTGTGTATCTTATTTTTTGTTAAAATATGTATTGCCTATTACCAAATCCCTTTCTATATATACATCAGTTAGATGCATTCCATTGTTATTTGCCCTTTGTACGTTATATTCCCTGCTAACAGGATATTACGGTATCCTACAACATTACAGTCTCCCACAACATCAGAATCTCCCGCAGTACTTCTCTCAGTTCAAAATTCCTTTAAAAACATTTCTCTTCAACACTCAACTACGAAATAAATAAACTCTTGTAACAGTTTTTTTCATATTCCAATTTTATTCTTTTAAACAGAAATCTTAAACTTCAACACGCTCCCTCCTTGTTTTCCACAATTGTTTATTTAATATTACCGCTACTCCTTTATCTCTTCTTCTCTCAGATACACCTGATTTATTCTCATTTCCTTTATCCCAAAGAAACTCTGCCACCCCTTTTAATATTTTGTTTTGCTCAGTGATAATATATGCAGTTTATTTTTCACTTAATTACATCTATGCTTATTCAGTCAACTAAACCAAAAAAATTCTTCCTTCTCATGTTTTTTTAACTGATACAAAGGGGGTTACTAGCCTCTTGCTCCCGGCATTTTAGTCGCCTCTCTAGACACACATGACTTACAGAGGAAATATTTTAATCTACCTGCCTTTTGGGAACTAAGAATAAAAAAAAAAACAGTGAGAAGAACTATTGCGAAATACAGAAAACTAACTCCTGATATGAGTCTCCATACATTATTATTATTATCATTATCATTAATAATAATAGTAGTAGTAGTAGTAGTAGTAGTAGTAGTAGTAGTAGTAGTAGTAGTAGTAGTAGTAGTAGTAGCAGTAGCAGCAGTAGTAGTAACAGTAGTAGCATTACGTAGTTTTGCGATGGTGTTTCCTTACAGTCAATATCCAGTATTTTCTTATATACATACAGTGTATGTATGTTTAATATATTGTTTTTTTTTTTTGTAAGGTTCTGTTCTTACATACAGTTTTTTCACTCGAGGTATTTAATACCTACAATTGTATAAAAGAGAATCTATGCAATGTTTGGTAACTATTAGACAAACATTTCTCCCACGAGGGATTATTCGTTTCCATAACAAAGTTTCGTAACTTCGCCCAGGTGTTTCTTGATGAACTGAGACACTTATGCAACATAAGGGAATCTTTATTGAAGTGTTTCTTCTATACCTGTACAAGCTTGTTTCTTATTGCAATAACATTTTGTGATTTTTGTCATTTCACTGTAAATAATAGTCACAATGTAAAAAATTGATTGATTTTTTCTATTAGTAGATTCTCGTTAAAAAATTTAATTTAGACAGACAATCTGAATTTACGTAACGTGTCTGAGAGAGTTTTATGTAATAAAAAATACATTTGGAAATGTTTAGAAACACATTTGCTTGGTGCCTTTGTTTCTTGACTTTATTGGAATTATGGGCAACAGTGATAAAAACATAAGAATTGAGGAACACTGCAGCAGGCCTTACCGGCCCATACTTGACAAGTCCTTCTCAAACCCACTAAAAAATATTCACCCAACCCATTATCAATATTACCAGATTAGCATGTTAGCTCAAGTTCCACTCAGATTTAACCCTTCTCATGTATTTATCTAACCAATATTTTCCTATATCCTTTCTAAATCTAAATAAATTTAATAAATTTTATAATAAATTTAATATTGACTAATTAAAGTTCCACATTTAATGTGAAGGTACAAGCTGGCCCTAGAGAGGTTTCTTTTTCTATTTTTAATAATATACTATAAGCCCTTAGACAGCAGGTTGTTTACATCCTAGGAACCAGGACTTGTATTTACGTTACTCAGTCAAAAGTCATAACAAAGGGGAAGTCAGAGAACCGGGGTTTGAGCGCCGGTTCCTCTGTCCGAAACATCATTATAAGCTTCTCTCTCCTACGTGCTGGTTATTTGTATATAAGCTGTCAGCTTACACTTAATATATGCCTCTTAATATGATATAAATGGAAAGAAAAACCAATAAGTTGAAGAATGAGTCACTTGCGCCATATTTAGAACCTTGATTACGAAAATGTTTTGCCAGTCAGTGGTTCTTCAGTCCAAAATATAGAAGAATGGTGAAAGTTCAGGAGGAATTTGAGATAATTAATCCCTGAGACAAGAATCGATGTGTTCAGTCCATCAAATTGATGGACTAAACACATCGACACTTAATAAAAAATCCCAAATTTCGCACAAGTGCTTCATTCTTCATCCTCCTAATGAACAAAAGATATTATTTTTGTCCTCTGGTTAGGTTTTTAAACTTCTTAAACCCTTCATAATCTGCATATTAACCTTGATGTATGGTAATAGATGGTGTTGGACCGCAAGGTTCGTATATAATATTTAATACCTAACTTATGCACCATTTTGCCACTAGTTGGAGCTGTTACATTTAGACGGTTCCTAACAAAAAAAAAATACATAAAATATTAAGGCCTCGGTTCAATAAATTCCCGAATCGTTGATAATAAGTTGATTTCAAATCAAGTAAAATGTCGTATATGGATATGCATGAATTTATTTAAAACAATTTATATTTACATAGACTTAGTGAATGTTAGTGTAACAATAAGTTAAGCATAGCCGGGGGCAGGCTTGTAGCTGGGCTGGTAGGCTGGGTACTGGGCTTTACCCTCATATTCCACTTGAGCCACGTAGCCTGAGTCACCGTTCACAGTGTATGAAACTCTCTCAGACGACCATCAGGAAGCAGCACGTAGTAGTTCCCCTGAGTATTGTAGCCGTCACGGGATTCTTGATGTCCAAAGTCGTTACCTGAAGGGTCGTCCTTCACGGCATAGTTGAAGTCGTACTTGGGATGACCCTGGAAGTTTAATCATGGCATTTTTATTAAAAAAAAATACAGATTTATTTTATGGTCCCAATATAACACAAGTTATTTCAGTTTAGGTGTGGAAGTGGAGTATTCATAATAAACGATTCAGAATGCCTAAAAAACGAAAGAAAATTATCAGAAAAAAATAATGCTAGTGTACAAGACTTGTATGAACTTGCACTTGGGGCGGGAGCCTTGTAGGAAGGTGGAGGGTTGTAGGAAGGTGGAGGGTTGTAGGAAGGTGGAGGGTTGTAGGAAGGTGGAGGCTCAGCCCATGCAACAGCCACAAGGACTGCCACGGTGAGAACCTGTAAACATGGAAATATAATACTATATTCTTAAACTTCAACACTGATTAAGATATATTTCGGATTTTTAAGATACATATACTGCGTGTATTATTCTACTTTAAAAATTACTTTAAAGAACATGGTTTTAGTAGATTAAGTCGAGCTAAACTGATGTTGACTGATACACTCTCGTCGCTTATATACTGGAGACTCCACCCACATTGTGACGTCAGTACAAGAAAAGCAATACAGTTTACCAAAACAAAAATTACCTAAGTACTGTACTTGACCGAGGTGTAGCGATAATCCTGACCTCCTTCCCCTCATCATCCTCATCTTGTAGTGCCGACCAAACAAGATACTGTTGACACAGAACATTGTTATGCTACTCAACTTCATCCTTCTTCTTTTAATGCAGACCAATACAGGGAACTATCTTAAAAAATTAACTTCACACCTCACAACTCGGTAGGAGTCATTATTTTTGTTGACTCATTATTAAATTTGAGAAGGTGAATGTTACCTGAGCATGTTAAGAGGTTGGTTGTCGATGTGGGAATCTGTAAGTATGGTTGTCTAGAGAGGATGTATGAGAGGCTGTGTCGGACTTGAAGGAGTAGTAAGCTGGAAGACGCGGTGTATTAAAGGAGCTTATGATGCTTCCAGTACCAGAGGCATTGTATGGAACCTTAACTCAGAGGGCAAGGGACTTCCGTAGAGGAGTTGTAAGAATTTTCACTAGAAGTATATACGGAAAGATTATCATTCAGGATTTCCCTCATGGAGCGGAAATTCAGTCATAAGTTCTTGTATGGCACACTGCCGGCGAGAGAGCAATGTTCCTGTACAAGGAGGCTGTGGCCCCGGAGGTATACATTGCGTAGGGGAAATGAGTGTACAGCGTTATGTTGTGTATGTTTGTGACAGGTTTACTGAATTATGTTAATGTATGAAAAGGTGTCAGCGTTTATGATGGGATATGTAAATGCCCCTTTCGTGACGTGAATTTAGAGAATATTTCTAGGGTGTCTATCAGGGCGGAGGCAGATCTTACAATGGACTGTATGAAGACTAAGAACGTGCTCCGGGATGCAGCACATGAGTTGGTGATACGCAAACTATTCTTAGTGGACGAATAATCCTACAGGATCCTCCGTCGAATCACATGATATATAGAGGACCGTTTGGTATGAGATTTCCGCGTCCTTTCTACATGATGTGTGTGTGTGTGAGACTGTGGCACTGATATAGTGTGAAGGTTGTGTTAAGAAGTCCTCTAACGCAATGGATGCTGTAATATCTGAAAAAGTGAATCTAATATGTTTCGGTATCTATGATGTATATATATATTTCATTATGTATGGTGTATCATGTTTCATTGTCTATGATGTATCTGCAGTTTTGCATAAGTAATGTATCTTTTCAGAATTTTTTCACCTACCTCGGGCAAAAAGGACATAAGTTTCATCTTTGATAACTGGGAAGTTCCAGAACTTAAGTTGCTCCGTAATGCCCGAGTCACATAGCGTAAAGGCCCTATGGTTTATGGTATGCAAAATAAGGACAGTACCGCAGCTAGATCTGAGAGCAATAATGTTTGTGTTATGTAACTGGGATGTCGTCAAGTGAGCTAAGGAGAGAGAAATTGTTAGCTTCCTCAGCATCCTGCACAGAGACATTGTGCAGTCCACTCTTGAAGGCATGAAAGGAAGAATTTTGCTCAACCTACCTTAATTAAGCTTCCTTTGCTAATGTTATTGTCGGAAATTTAAACAGTTGGCATCGTTGGCTGAAAAGACAAGAATTTCGTCCATGGGTGTCTTTGTAATACAGATTGGAGAGGAAAAGATTTCCAGGCAGCTTCTTTCTTACAACAGGAATGTGAAGTGTAAATAACAGTGTTAACATCAGCCGTCTAAGGGTCGAGGACCCTTGGATGGAGGTCTCGACCCAATCCGTCCTGTGATGTTCGATCGATCCGAAAGTCGACGCACCGTCGTGTCGCTGGAAGGTCAAAGGCATGAAAATAATCAGTATAAATTCCCTCAAGGAAGTCAGACAACGAGTCGTTGCCCAAAGGAGATCCTGGGTTCTTAGAAAGATCCATGGGCGCTCTGGGGTTAGTTATCTGTGCCACTAGAAAAAGAAGAAGATTGGAAGGAGTCAGATTATGAATATGATCGTCAATGATAAAGTGAATTTCATTTGTTATATTATATATATATATATATATATATATATATATATATATATATATATATATATATATATATATAATATATATATATATATATATATATATATATATAATATATAACATATACATATAATATATTATATATAAATAATATATATATAATATATATATAATATATAATATATATATACATGTTGTGCCGAATATGTAAAACTGGTCAATTAGCAAGAACTCATTTAAAATTAAGTCCTTTCTGAAATTTTCTCTTACAAGTTTAAAGATATATATTTTTCATTAACGTTAATGTAAAAATTTTCAATTTTGCACCAAAAGAATCTTAGAAAACTTACCTAACCTTATTATAACAAGAGCAATTTATTTTAGCCTAACCCAACTAAATATATTTTAGATTTGTTTACAATAATTTAATTCTAAACAAACACAATGAAATATATTTTTTTCGTTAGGTTCAGAATGATTTTGGCGAAATTATTGCATACACAAATTTTTGCTTGTCCTATATGGTAAGATGAGCGTTGCTATTTAAGCCAAGATGGAAAGTTCTGCCTATTCGGCACGACATATATATATATATATATATATATATATATATATATATATATATATATATATATATATATATATATATATATATATATATATATGCAAAACAACCACTCTGAAAGAATAAGAAATTCCAAGCGCTTGGAATTTCTTATTCTTTCAGAGTGGTTGTTTTGCATATTCTGAAATCACCTGTTTACTGTGATCTTATTGCATATATATATATATATATATATATATATATATATATATATATATATATATATATATATATATATATATATTATATATATATATATATATATATATGGGATGGGAAAGGGGTTCAAACGGGACAACACTGATGAGAAACAAAAGAAAATTGCATATCCTCCTCTGCATCCTAGACTACCATAAGTGTTGCTGGTAGTGCTGATGTTACATGATAACTACTCCCTAGTGACTAGTCTATCCTTCACGCCGGAAAACCAGCAATTCTCGATTTCATCTCCCACACCAATCGAGCCACCTAGGCCGACAAAAGAAATGGGCGGTCGGACACCCACTAAGATATACCCTCTTAGCCGCCACCTTACTGAACCGACTGTCAGCCTCCAGGAATACTCCCGTCACCTAAGGACACACAAGGATACCCACCAATACTCCGGAGGGCAACTCATCACATCCCTAGTTGATTCAACACCCCCGACAAGCAATGCCACCATCAAGGTCCTCAACGGAATGGGACGAACAACGGTTCCCTTTCTATGTACCTAAGATCAACTTATAACGGGAATATCATTCAAGGCCGAATGGGTAGGAGAGGAGGGGTGAGAGCACAAGATTTAGTTCTTCAGATCAAGAGCCTCCTCACCTCAATTAACCTTGAAATTCGAATTATGGAAACAAGCAGTGGTGATAATCGAGATAATTTGACAACGTGAAAGTATGATATAATATCATTATAAACAAAAAAATATCAATGTCCTATATCACATGGTCTCTCATCCGGCAGCGTTTCAGCTGTTTTCGTAAGTATTTTATTTATATGCAGACAGATAACCCTCTTGAGTGTGAAGGATACAAGAAAGCAAACAATTTCGAGCAGTGAAGTCTTCAGGGAGAGAAAAAGTAGTTGTGTCCTGCATTCACTTTCATATTCTCTTAAAACATTTTTATCCATGACACTACACATATTAGGTTGTATAGTATATGGTAAAAGATAGAATTAGACTGTATGGGTACTTCCACAATGGTGAATAGTTAACTCTCATGCGCCACTTCCTCACTAGATGGCGATATTACGTTTAATAAATTCTAGAAAAATATTAAGGTATCACTTGCACCAATTTCAGAATCTTTGACAATAAGTTAACACTGATTCTAATAAAAAGTGTATATTCATCTTGCATATATTTATTAAAAGTATTTACATAAACTATAATCGAATGTTAGTGTAATGTTATTTAAGCATAGCCGGGGGCAGGCTTGTAGCTGGGCTGGTAGGCTGGGTACTGGGCTTCACCCTCATATACCACTTGAGCCACGTAGCCTGAGTCACCGTTCACAGTGTATGAAACTCTCTGCAGACGACCATCAGGAAGCAACACGTAGTAGTTCCCCTGAGTATTGTAGCCGTCACGGGATTCTTGATGTCCAAAGTCGTTACCTGAAGGGTCGTCCTTCACGGCATAGTTGAAGTCGTACTTAGGATGACCCTGAAAGTTAAAGAATAGCATTTTAATTACAAAATTACTACGGTTTTCTTTATACTGCAATTGTTAACACAAGTATCTTCAATTATGAAGGTGTAGTAGTGGTGTACTTATCATCAGCGATTCAATATGCGTAAAAAATGAAAGAAAATTATCAAAATAAAATTGGATGCAAGTGTACAGCACTTGTATGAACTTACACTTGGGGCGGGAGCCTTGTAGGAAGGTGGAGGGTTGTAGGAAGGTGGAGGGTTGTAGGAAGGTGGAGGGTTGTAGGAAGGTGGAGGGTGGTAGGAAGGTGGAGGCTCGGCCCATGCAAAAGCCACAAGGACTGCCACGGTGAGAACCTGCAAGCATGAAAATAAAACACTATGATCTAAAGCTTCAATGTTCATTAAAGAATATTTCAGATTTTTCAGACTCGTAAACCACATGCATTTTTCTAATTTACTTACTTTAAAGAACATGGTTTTAGTAGATCAAGTCGGGTTAAACTGATGTTGACTGATGCACTCTCGTCGCTTATATACTGGAGACTCCACCCACAATGTGACGTCAGTAGCATTACAGGGAAAGCAGCACAATTCACAAATACAAAAAATTCTAAAATACTGTACTTGACCAAGGTGTGGCGATCATCCTGACCTCCTCCTCCTCCTCCTCCTCCTCCTCCTCCTCCTCCTCCTCCTCCTCCTCCTCCTCCTCCTCCTCCTCCTCCTCCTCCTCCTCCTCCTCGTCCACTTCCTTCTCCTTCTATTCTTCCTCTTCCTCTTCTTCGTCCTCCTACTCCTCCTCCTCCTTCTTCTGTTTCTCCTGTTTCTTCTTTCTTCTACTTGCAGAATGCATAATCTAAATTGTTATAGATCTGGAACAATGGACGATAGTTTGCTGGAGTATAGACCAAACGAGATACTGACTACATAGCCTTATACTGCTCATCTTCATCTCACAGCATCCTCTCTTTTTTTACAAACACATAAAACATAAAAACATCATACTTCATCGTGATGTATCTGCTAATTTGTATAAATGATATATTATCTTTCGGTATTCATCACCGACCTCGGGCAAGAAGGACGTCACTTTGATAACCGGGAATTTCCTGAACTCAAGTTGTCCGTAATGTACGAGTCACACTGCGTGAAGTCCCTTTGGATTATGATATGCGGAATGAGAACAGTATCGCAGAATTGAGAGAAACTTGTCTGTGTATTGTAACTGAAGTGTTGTCAAGTAAGCTAAGGAGAGAGAAATTGTGAGGTTGCTCAGCATTCTGCAAAGAGACAATGCACATTTCATTCTTGAGGGCATGAAATGAAGCGTTTTGTCCAACATGCCTTAGGCATCCATTGCTAATGTTTTTGTCGGAGATTTAATCCGTTGGCGTCATTGGCCGAAGAGAAAAGAATTTCATCCAGAAGAGTCTTTGTAATACAGATTTTAGAGGAAGAGATTCGAGGCAGCTTTTTTCTTAGAATAGGAGTGCGGAGTATCAGTAACAGCTTCAGCATCAATAGATACAGGTCGAGGGCCCTTGGACGGAGGTCTCGACCCAGTCCCTCAAGTGACGTTCGATCGATCCAAAGATCGACGCTCAGTCATGGGAGAAGCCAGAATCGAAGTCGGAGTCGCGCGAAGGTTAGAGGCATGACAAGGGTTAGCAAAAACACTGGCAAATGAGTCAGGCAACGAGGTGCTGCCAAAAGAGGAATCTGTGTTTGTAGAAAGGTTTGGGGGCATCCCGGGGTCAATTATGGGTGCCACTGGAAAAACAAGGAGACTGGGAGGAGGCAAATTATGGAACGGTCGTACATGATTAATTTCATTTCACTTGTTTTCCTACAAAATGAGGGGGGGGGGGTTAAAGCGGGGCAACGCCAATGAGAAACAAAAAAAGACTGTATATTTCTCTCGGTGTTCTTAGTAATGCTGATGCTGAATGAAAACTGCTCACTTCCCTTCATGCCAGTAAACCATTAATCCATGACTACATTTTCCACATCAACCGAGCCACCTTGGCTGACAGGAATATGGGACGTTGGACACCACCCAAATCAAATCCCCATTTGACGCCACCTTCCGGAACCACTGTCATCTTCCAGAGACAATCCCGTCACCTAAGTGCGCACGAAGACACCCACCAGGACTCCGCAAGGCAGCTCAGCAAATCACCAGTTGATTCAATGCCCACGACAAACACCCCTATCACAACCAAGGTTCTCAACGGAACAGAACAGCATCGGTTCCGTTTCCATCTACCTTGGACCATCAATTTACAAAAGAAATATCCCCAAAGGTGGAATGGGTAGGAGAGGAGGGATGGAGGCACAACATTCGATTCGATGAAGGATGGAAATGCCTCTTCACCTCAACAAAATACTATTTGAAAGGCGAATTATGGGAAACAGGCAATGTTGATCAGCAAGATAGCTCAACGTCAAGTATTGATAGAAAATCATTTTCAACAAAGACAGTATCAATGCTCTATATCACATGATCTTTTAATCTGACAGCATTCCAGTTAAATTAGCATTTTTTTTTTTTTACACAGGTAACCATCTTGATAGTGAAGGAGAGAAGATAAAATATTTCGAGGGGGGAAAAGCAGTTGTGTTTCGCAGTCGGTTTCTTATTTTCATGAAATTTCTTTTATCCATGAGATTATGCATATTAAGTTGTGTATAGTAACAGGTAGTATATGATTGTATAGCTACTTCTACAATGATCAATACTTAACTCTCTCTGTCGCCACTTCCTCACTAGATGGAGATATTACGTTTATTGAATTCTAGTAAAATATTGAGTTTCAGAATCTTTGACAATAAGTTAACACTGAATCTATTAAAAGACTGTATACCCATCTTGCATATATTTATTTAAAGTATTTGTATTTACATAAATAAACTATAATCGAATGTTAGTGTAATGTTCATTTAAGCATAGCCGGGGGCAGGCTTGTAGCTGGGTTGGTAGGCTGGGTACTGGGCTTTACCCTCATATTCCACTTGAGCCACGTAGCCTGCGTCACCGTTCACAGTGTATGAAACTCTCTGCAGACGACCATCAGGAAGCAACACGTAGTAGTTCCCTTGAGTATTGTAGCCGTCACGGGATTCTTGATGTCCAAAGTCGTTACCTGAAGGGTCGTCCTTCACAGCATAGTTGAAGTCGTACTTAGGATGACCCTGGAAGTTAGAGAATAGCGTTTTCATTACAAAATTACTACGGATTTTTCTAACACTGCTATTGTTAACACAAGTATCTTCAATTATGAGGGTGTAATAGTGGCGTATTTACCATAAACGATTCAGTATGCTTAAAAAAACGAAAGAAAATTAACAAAATAAAATTGGATGCAAGTGTACAGCACTTGTATGAACTTACACTTGGGGCGGGAGCCTTGTAGGAAGGTGGATGGTTGTAGGAAGGTGGAGGGTTGTAGGAGGGTGGAGGGTGGTAGGAGGGTGGAGGCTCGGCCCATGCAAAAGCCACAAGGACTGCCACGGTGAAAACCTGCAAGCATGAAAATAGAACACTATAATCTAAAGCTTCAATGTTCATTAAAGAATATTTCAGATTTTTCAGATTCATATACCACACACATTTTTCTAATTTACAAAGTTACTTTAAAAAACATGGTTTTAGTAGATCAAGTCAAGTAAAACTGATGTTGACTGATGCACTCTCGTCGCTTATATACTGGAGACTCCACCCACAGTGTGACGTCAGTAACATTACAGGGAAAGCAACACATTTTACAAATGCAAAAAATTCTAACATATTGTACTTGACCGAGGTGTAGCGATCATCCTGATCTCCTCCTCCTCCACTCCTACTCCTCCTCCTCCTCCTTCTATTTCTCCTGCTTCTTCTACTTGCAGAACGACAGTTTGCTGGAGTGCAGACCAAACGAGATACTGACTACGTAGCATTATACTGTTCATCTTCATCTCACAGCATCCTCTCTATTTTTACAAACACATGCAAGCATCATTCTTAAAAAATAAACTATTTTTCTCACGCTTTAGCAGGAGTCATTATTTTTCTGACATTATTTCAGGAGGCGGACTCTACGTGTTCATGTAAAGAGGTTGGTAATCCATCTGAAAATCTTTAAGGACGGTTAGCTAGAGAGAATGTACGAGAGATTGTATCAGACTTTCAGAAGTGAACTGGAAGACTGGGTGTATCGAAGGAGCTTCGGATGTTCCCAGTACCAGGGAGGTATGGAACGTTCTTTGGGTAAATATTTCCATTTTGGAATTGTATGTACGTTTACTAGAATTATATATGGAAAGATTGTGTCATTTGAGGATTTTCATTATAGAGAGAAAATTCATTCATAAGTTCCTGCACCGCACATTTCCAGCGAGAGAGCAATGCTCCTGTACAGTAAGGTTGTGGCCTGGGAAGAATACACTGAATAAACGAAAGAATCTACAGCTTGCCATGTTGCGTATATCTGTTACAGGTTTATTAGATTAAGTGAATGTATGTCTAAGGTGTTAGTTAGCCTTTATGATGAGATGTGTAAATATGCCTTTCTTGACGGCGTTGTCAATGAAATTTGAATACGTTTAATATGACTGTCAGTGCAGCGGCAGATCTCACAAAGGACTATGTGATGTGGATAATGAGTTGGTGATACACAGTTGTAAGCAGATAAATATTACAGGATTTTCTATCGAATCGCATGGATTATGGAAACCTGTTTGGTAAGAGAGTTCTCCATCCTTACGAAGTGACGTATGTGTAAGATTGTGGACCTGTGAGAAGTCCTGTAATGCGATGGCTGCTGTAATATCTGTATTGTGTGTCTGTTATTATCTATGATGTATCTATTTTTCATTATCTATGGTTTATCATATTTCATTTTCTACCATGTTTCTTTATTTATGATGTATTTGCTATACTTCATCGAGATGTATCTGCTAATTTGCATAAATAATATATGATCTTTCAGTATTCATCACCGACCTCGGACAAGAAGAACGTCACTTTGATAACCGGGAATTTCCTGAGTTCAAGTTGTTCCGTAATATACGAGTCACACTGAGTGAAGTCCCTTTGGATTATGATATGTGGAATGAGGAGAGTATCGCAGCAAGAAATGAGAGAAATTTGTCTGTGTATTGTAACTGGAGTGTTGTCAAGTAAGCTAAGGAGTGAGAGATTGTGAGGTTGCTCAGCATTCTGCAAAGAGACAATGCACATTCTATTCCTGAAGGCATGAAAGGAAACGTTATGTCCAACATGTCTTAGGCATCCGTTGCTAATGTTTTTGTCGGAGATTTAATCCGTTGGCGTCAATGATAGAAGAGAAAAGGATTTCATCCAGAAGAGTATTTGCAATACAGATTTTAGAGGAAGAGATTCGAGGCAGTTTTTTCTTAGAATAGAAGTGCTGAGCGTCAGTAACAGCGTCAGCATCAATAGATACAGGTTGAGGGCCCTTGGACGGAGGTCTCGCGTTCGATCGATCCAAAGATCGACGTTCAGACATGGGGGAAGCCAGCATCAAGGTCAAAGTCGCTCGAAGGTTAGAGGTATGAAAAGAGTCAGCAAGAACACCGGTAAATGAGTCGGGTAACGAGGCGCTGCCCAAAGAAGAGTCCGTGTTCGTAGGAAAATCCGCGGGGCATCCCGAGATCAGTTATGGGTGCCACTGGAGAAAGAAGGAGACTGGGATTGGGCAAATTATGGATCCATCGTCCATGATTAATTTCATTTCACTTGTTTTCCTACAAATGAGGGGGAGGTGGCGCGGGGTTAAAGCGGGACAACACCAATGAGAAACAAAAAAATAGACTGGATATTTCTCTCGGCGTTTCTGGTAATACTGATGCTGCATGGAAACAGCTCACTGCCCTTCATGCCAGAAAACCATTAATGCACGAATGCGTTTCCACATCAACCGAGCCACCTTCAATGGGAGGTCGGACACCAACCACCTTCCGGAACCGACTCTCAGCTTCCAGAGATAATCCTGTCACCTAAGTGAGCACGAAGACACCCACCAGGACTCCGCAATTCAGCTCAGCAAATCACTAGTTGATTCAATGCCCACGACAAACACCACCATCACCACCAAAGTCCTCAACAGAACAGAGCAGCATCGGTTCTGTTTCCATCTACCTAGGACCATCAATTTACAAAATAAATATCCCGAAAGGTGGAATGGGTAGGAGAGGAGGGATGGAGGCACAACATTCGATTCGATAAAGGATGCAAAAGCCTCTTCACCTCAACAAAATACCATTTGAAAGGTGAATTATGGGAAACAGTCAATGTTGATTAGCATGATAGTTCAGCGTCAAAGTATTGATAGAAAATCATTTTCAACAAAGACAGAATCACTGTTCTATATCACATGATCTTTTAATCTGGGAACATTCTAGTTATATTGGCATATTTTTATTTATACAGGTAACCATCTTGATAGTGAAGGAGAGAAAAGATGTCGAGCAGTGAAGTCTTGAGAGGAAAAGTAGTTGTGTTTAGGAATCGGTTTCATATTTTCATGAAACTTCTTTTATTCATGAGATTATGCATATTAAATTGTGTGTATAGTAACAGGTAGTATATGACTGCATAGATACTAAAACAATGATCAATACTTAACTCTCTCTGTCGCCACTTTGTTAAAAGATGGAGATATTACGTTTATTGAATTCTAGAAAAATATTAAGGTATTACTCGCACCAACTTCAGAATCTTTGACAATAAGTTAGCACTGATTCTAATAAACGACTGTATAATCATCTTGCATATATTTATTAAAAGTATTTACATAAATAAACTATAATCGAATGTTAGTGTAATGTTCATTTAAGCATAGCCGGGGGCAGGCTTGTAGCTGGGCTGGTAGGCTGGGTACTGGGCTTCACCCTCATATTCCACTTGAGCCACGTAGCCTGAGTCACCGTTCACAGTGTATGAAACTCTCTGCAGACGACCATCAGGAAGCAACACGTAGTAGTTCCCTTGAGTATTGTAGCCGTCACGGGATTCTTGATGTCCAAAGTCGTTACCTGAAGGGTCGTCCTTCACGGCATAGTTGAAGTCGTACTTAGGATGACCCTGGAAGTTTAAGAATAGCATTTTCATTACAAAGTTACTACGGATTTTTCTAATACTGCTATTGTTAACACAAGTATCTTCAATTATGAGGGTGTAGTAGTGGTGTATTTATCATCAACGATCCAGTATGCTTAAAAAACGAAAGAAAATTAATAAAATAAAATTGGATGCAAGTGTACAGCACTTGTATGAACTTACACTTGGGGCGGGAGCCTTGTAGGAAGGTGGAGGGTTGTAGGAAGGTGGAGGGTTGTAGGAGGGTGGAGGCTCGGCCCATGCAAAAGTCACAAGAACTGCCACGGTGAGAACCTGCAAACATGAAGATAAAACACTGTAATCTAAAGCTTCAATGTTCATTAAGGTATATTTCAGATTTTTCAAACTCATATACCACATACATTTTTCTAATTTACTTACTTTAAAGAACATGGTTTTAGTAGATCAAGTCGAGTTAAACTGATGTTGACTGATGCACTCTCGTCGCTTATATACTGGCGACTCCACCCACAATGTGACGTCAGTAGCATTACAGGGAAAGTAACACAATTCACAAATACAAAAATTTCTAACGTACTGTACTTGACCGAGGTGTGGCGATCGATCATCCTGACCTCTCCCTCACCATCCTCCACTTCTACCTCCTTTCTTCCAATTTCCTCCTCCTCCTCCTCCTCCTCCTCCTCCTAGTCCTCTCATCTTCCTCTTTCTTCTCTTACTCCTTTCTGAATACATAATCCAATTTGTTATAGATCTGGAACAATGAATAACAGTTTGCTAGAGTGTAGAAAAAACGAGATACTGACGACACAGAACATTATAATACTCAACTTCTTTTCGGAGCATCCGTTCTTTTGTGTTCTGACAAATACAAGCAACGTTCTTAAAACATGACCTTTGCATCTCACTCTCTGGTAGGAGTCATTATTTTTGTTGATACATTATTTGATTTGACGAAGTGGTAGTCCACGTGGGAATCTTTTACAAATTGCGGCCGTCTGCATACGATGTTTGAGAAATTGTGAGGGACATTCGTAAGTTCCTGCATGGCACATGCAGGAACTTACGAATGACTGTTGTCGTCCCCAACAACATGGCTGTCGTCGGGGACGACCCCCCTGCGTGGAGAAACGAGTTTACAGCTGTCATGTTGTGTATGTATGTGACACGTTTAGTGGATTACGTGAATGTATGTCCACGGGACATATGGGATATATCACAGTCCCTTACATGCCGGAGCTGTCATTGAAATTTGGAGAATATACCTAGTGTGGCTGTCAGGCGGCGCCAGATCTTATAGTGGACTATGTGGAGACTAAGTAGGTGTTCCATAGTGTGGATTATGAGTTTGTGATACACAAATGATTGTTAGCAGATAAATCCTACTGGCTCCTCTGTTGAATCGCATGGTTTATGGAGGATTGTTTGGTAAGAGATTTCCGCATCGTTACTAGGTGACGTATGTGTGAGAGATCGTGTCACTGACACAGTGTCAAGGTTGTATTAAGGACTCCTATTGCATGATGGCTGCTGTAATATCTGAGTTATGTATCTGTAATGTTTCAGTATCTGTGATGCATAGATTATGTATCCTTATTTATGATGCGTCATCTTTCACTATCTATTATTTATCATGTTTAAGCATCTATTATATATCATGTTTCAGTATCTATTATTTATAATGTTTCTTTATCTATGAGGTATCTGTTATGCATCTATGCTTCATTATCTGTGTTCTATCTAGGTTTCATTTTCTATGATGTATCTGTTATGTTTCAATATTTATGACTGGAATTTGTTCACTATTTCAGATTGGTAGCAAATTATATTGCAATGACAATCAGATCAACAACACTGTGATTAGTTA